TTACTCAGGTAAAAGATCCCACAATTTTCATTTCTGACAACTTCCAGAATATGCTGATTCTGCTGCTCTGGGGATCCCACTTTGAAAACCACTGTAATATTTTATCTTTGAGAAGCTGAACTATTTTACTTTTTATTTTTAGATCTACAATATATCTGGACTTGATTTTCATGTGTGGTGTGAAATAGGGGTAAATTTTAGTTTTTCTAAATGTTAGTCAATTGACTAATAACACTGAAGAAGTTCTTCAAGTGCATCTTGTGAAAGAAGAGGAAAAATTATATGCTTCTCTTCAGGCTTCATAAAGAAAAATCAGGATTACATGTACATTTTAGAAAACAGTGATGTTAATTTAAATATAAATACTAGAACAACAATGATTACTAATAAGAAAACATTACAGAATTATAGACTTTTTGGAAGTTAAAGGTTACTTTCATAAGCCATAACAACAGTCTCTGAAGTCTAGATGTCTATAAGATACCTTTGTTTAAAAAAAAACAAAAATATTTGAAAGTCAAGAAGACTTTGAGACATGAAAGAAGTAAAGTGACGATTTTCAAAAGTTAAAATATCCAATGTTATGGGCTAAATTTTGCCTTAAAATACATATGTTGAAACTCTAACTCTCAGTATCTCAGAATGTGACTGTATTTGGAGATAAGGCCTTTAATGTGGCATTTCAACTAAAATGAGTCCATTAGGCTTGTCCCTAATCCAATCTTAATGGTATCCTTCTAAGAAGAGGAAATTTGGGCACACAAAGTGATACCAGGGTTGCACGTGCACAGAAGGATGATGTGAGGACACAGTGAGAAGATGGAGATGTACAAGCCAAAGAGAGAGGCCTCAGAAGAAACCAAAGCTGCTGACACCTTGATCTTGCACTTAAGGCCTCTAGAAATGTGAGAAATAAATTTTTGTTTATTGAATTGAATTGAATTGAATTGAATTGAATCACCCAGTCTGTAGTATTTTGTTATGGCAACCCTAGAAAATTAATGCATCCTGTGTTGGTAACATTTTCTTCTAGAAGATTAGTCATTGAGCAAGGTAGCAAAATAAGCAAGAATATAAGTGGCATTACAGGACAATAACTAAACACTTGGGAACATTTTCAGAAAATATTAGGGAAAATCAAAGTCTTTTTAAAATAGTTTTTTAGAGGATGCTCTTAAGGAGACCTTTATGAAAATGCACAGCAAAGAGTGTTTTCACCTACTTTCTCTCTTATAATAAGGGTTCTGACAAAACAAACCAGAAAAAACAGCAATATTAAGTGCAATTTGTCTAAGAATGTTACCTCCCAAGTGGGGTGTCATCTGCCCAACAAAAGACATGCCAATAGTCAAGAGACAAGGTGGTAGGAGACGAATGACTTTCTTACAGCTTGCTAGCAAGGGGGAATATGGCTGACTAATGTCCATTAGAACCATCTCATGGGGGTCACAGAATCTTGAAGCAGTTGTAAAGGCTAGTGGGTTATAGGGGAGGGGGGTTAGAAATGTTGACCCCCCTGACATTATAGACTGGGAGTTGACACATCAGATCTTCCAGTTGTCATGGGTATCATCATAGAATCTCTGTCCAGAGGCCATCACATTCCTAGAGAACTCAAATAATAAGGTTATCATCTCATCAGAGCTGGAAGGGGCCATAAAATCCACAGAGCATGTCTGGGTTAGTTAATCAGAGGTCACTCAAAGTTAGAATGTTGTTTATTTTCTACAATATGGCTTCGCTTATGTCAGCCTTGTGTTAAGCCAGTATCAATTCCCCCTTTTTGTTGTTTATCCCTCAATCTTGAGAGATATCTTGTTGACGAGGGGCATACGTTGCTGCATCTTGTTGAACCAGTCTCTTAGTAAGATGGTGATGCAGGTGGGCTCTCAAGTTAGGCCTATATTGTGTAAGCAAGTAACCAGGTATTTAATAAGGTTAAAAACCAAAAATAAGGTTAATCATGGCAGCAAATAATAAACCAGTTTCTGAGCCCAGGGGGCAGCCAGTCAAAAAGATTTCTAGATGTCAAAGTTAAAGAATCTTTTGCAGTTTGAAATGTCTCTGAGGATGTCATCAGGTATTTGGGTATCTTTCTGAGTGGCTTACATAGCAACAGACATGGATCTCTCCTTCATTTATATCAAGTCCTCTAGCTCCAGTTTGCAATGCTTCAGGAAAAAGGGCAGGTTCAGTTCTCAGTGATTCCAAATAAAAATGATGGAAAAAATTGAAAACATTAGTTTGGAGATTTGTAGGCAGATATTTCAGGAGACTAGAAGAATTCATGATCCAGTCCAGTTAACAGATATAAAACAAAAACCTCAAAGACAATTAACAGAACTAGAATCTAATATTTATGAATGTGTACTATAGTTTCTAGTGAAACAAGTATTCTCTCTAAAATTACCCTCATTTTTAATAAAAGATAGCTAAATTAAGACTAAACTGGTTTGCAAAATGTCTAGTTTCAATAAAACATGATCCAATTATTTACATAAGTGCAGCAAGCATAGCCATGGATCATATAGGCTCTTTTAAATCTGCTTTGCTGGAACTTTTTATAAGGAATCTCAGGTTGAACTTTAAAAGTCTCTCGAGGCCAAGCCAAGCCAAGGATTTGTCATTAGACTCTGCTGGCAATACTGACATATTTGGATGAATTCCTCTCTTTTCGAGGTCCCCCTCAAATATTTTGGGGTTCCTTGCACCTGCCAGAGAAATGACCTTCATTACTCACTTGGTAGGGTTCCTGAGAACACTGTTAACAAGCTACTGGGCCAATATTTCCAAATGGCTTTATTCTAACAAGTCAACCTTTATTCTTCAAAAGCTGTCTTGTCATATCTGAGTCTGCTTGCTTCTCTCAAATATAACATTCCAGTCAAAGTCTTGGTAATATAACCAATGTTTCCAATTATGTCCTGTTATAAGGAGAACAAATTCTTATTGAACTTATGCAAATAACTGTATTGCCATGAAAATAATACTCACTCACTAAGAGTCTCCAGATTCTAGAGCAATCAGGTTACTTCTGGTTGCAATGATATAATTTACCAAATTGCTATAAGTGATACTTAGCTTGACAGAAAAGAGGAAAAAACTTCCTTAAATCTGAAAAAAACCCAAAACATTAAAAAACAAGCAATGTTTTACACAAAAGTTATAAAAATTATAATCATCCTCATCAGTTCGTTCAGTCCTATGTGATTGATTCTTGATCTTAGTCTTCTGTTAGCAGTTTTGTGAAGTCATCACTTTCTCTGTTAGAGTTCTACAGTTTCTTACCCAGTTCAGTTTTATGATCTGAAAGTTTATCAGAAACCTGTGTTCTAGAGTAAATGTCAGAGCCCTTTCCATGAATCTCTCTGAAGATGAAATATATTTGCAAAGGCATCAGAGTAAAACAACAACTATATGCAAATGACAAAGGACTCAAAAAAGAGCAATTGACAAGGAAACTTGGCTAATTTTGTGACATATAACATTTTTAAATAATAACCAGAAATATGACTGATACCCAAGACAGATCAGAATTTTAATAATGTTATACAATTTTGAAACACCTATGTCAACAATATTCACCAACATGATATCATTGGTCCCCATGAAACAATGCTTAGCTATCCATTTAACCATGATGATGACTAAAGACCTTGAAGACAAACACAGAGAGCCAAATAGTTAAAAAAAAAAAAAAAAAAAAAAACTTAATAGAGAGACGTCAGTCTTTTTGACCATAGGAAATTATTTTAACAAAACATGCTTTTTCTATTTTTAGGTAGACTTACTCAAAAATAAAGAAAACCCATTTAGAACCTCTTTCTCAGGAGCAGACAAAAAGATAAACAAAATTATCCTAAGAAAAAGAAGACCAAATTCTAATTTTGCATCAACTTACTTTTGACATTAAAACTCATTTACTTAATTAGATTTACTTTAATATTATCCAACTTGACCATGCATAAAATTCCTCAGGATTTTACCTTCACAAACTCTCTGTCACTTATGTTTTTACATTCAGAATTTGTCTCAAGTTTTTTTTTTTGTTTTTCCTTTTCTCTTTCCTAGCACTTTAGGACAAATTTATTTTTCTTAACAAAGCAAACACAAATATCTCTATTCTTTATACCTTCTTTACTGAACATGTATACTTTACTTCCCTTGTATACAAATTTTTAGAAATATATGCTTTCTCATAGAACATTTCTCATCATGTATAAAACATGTCTCTCAACAAACACACACATTTTTTAGTTTCTGTGAGATAAGAAAACAAAGGCAGACAAATCTAATTTTAATAATCAACTTCTAATATTTTATCTTATGTGGAAATGATCTAGATACTAAACAAAGTTTTATCATTTGATTCAGCAAAACTCTAAACTTTTAGGTTACCAGAAAGATTTTGGAAGTCGTTTTTTCAAGTATACAGACCACAAAGCATAATTATTATACCAAAAATCTCTTACCTCTTTTTAGCTATCTAAATCATTTGTTTCCAACAATTGTGTTTTGACTATCCATGGAAACCTCATGAGATATTAGACAAAATTAATTATCATTTAATCCTATTATTTTGCTGACAAATTTGTAACAGATAACATGAGCTTATTTGACTGGTAAACTCAGGCTGCATGTCTGCACCACACTCAAATACTGACAACTCTGAGGACATGCCTATTTCAATAAAACCAACAATCTTAAATAAGCTTTCAGTTACCAAAGATTAATTTATATTATGTTAACTTCAAAGACATTTGGGTTAGTTTCTACTGCATTTAGAAGTAATTTCTGTAAGTGCTTACTTTAAGTCAATGAAATAGAGCTCTTAATTTTGGCCATATCATACAGAGGTAAAATATCACCCATATATAACATACATATAGGCACATATAAGCACACGGGTAGACACAGACAGAGACCTTCTAACTTCCATTAAATTTTTATGAATCAAGTGCAATACAAATCTTACTAGTTTATGGGAAGCATTTGCATTTCAAAGAATGAGTCTCAGGTCCTAGAGAAGATGGGAGCAGAAAATTTATATTATAAAGGCATAGAGAAAGCAGTCGAGTTTTCTCCAATATGGAGTTTCTGGGGCATAACCCATCCAATTGAAATTGTTTCCAGTTATTTAAAATGCACCTGAGGGGTGAGTCTCTGAGGATGCTTGGGGTGTTCCTCATGGCAGTAAAGCCAGTATCCAAATGACAGCGAGCCTGGAGAAGGGTACAGAGCACAACTTCAGGCATCAATATAGTTATAAGATTCAGCCAAGTTCCATTCAGCCTGGGGAACTTAGTCCCTGAGCCAGCACAACGCAAGCCAGGGAGACCAGAGACAAAGTCCTGCAGTGGGCTGTGGGCTGGGGTTCACAGTGCCGGGGTTGAGAGTTGATTCTCTGGCAAAAGATTTTCAAGTTTTCAATTGTTACAGGAGGTCCAGATTCTGCTCAGGTCGAGTCCATATTTAATCTCGACTTGGTGACAACAGAGGAGGTGACAAATGAGACAAAGAAGGGAAAGGTGTGATCACGCCTTGCCTTCATGGCCTCTTCCCAGTGGTTATCAAGATAAAGGTTACTCAAATAACAGTTCCCATGCCAGGGCACACAACCCCAGTAGGACAGTTTACAGGATAAATTACAGGTCTCTTGTTCCCATAACTGACACAGTTGGCACCTAAAATACTCAACAGGTTCTTGATAGGAGGCAAAACTGGGTTCCAGATTGTCAGTCAAATGACCGACAGAGATGCCAACCTGCAGTCACTCCGGGTGCCCAAAAATCAGAGGAGAGCTCCCAGAGGTGCCAGAGGAGTGCTCCCAGGAGTGGAACTTGGACTTTCCAAAGCCAGAAACTGCAGCTTTGTCCATCAAAGGACTGACCCAGGGGCTGACCTGGAGTTATTCCATGTGCCCAAAGAGATTAACAGAAACGAGAAACCAGGACTTCCAAGAGAGGGTATCTCACTTGGGGTCACCGAGGTAATCAGGCTGGGAAACCAGAGGAGAGCTCTCCACGGTGGAATGCAGATTCTTTAAAGATTTCTTTGTTTCTTGGTTTGAAAGCTCAAAAGGAGCCCAGAATGGCCACTGTAATTTTAAATTATCCTGGGCTATCTTGCCAGCTATTTACAGTTATCTCCAATTTAGGGGGCTTTTCCCAAGGAATAAGACACAAGGTAATTTCTAAACAGTTTGTTACAATCACTGAGAAACGCAGTCCCTAAACAGCCAATTTTAAGCTGTTTATGAACACAGACACAGACACAGAAAACCAGACACTAGTGAACTAGTTCCCAGCTTTAGCGTAAAAAGTCCTACAATTATTCCCACAATGAGTGCACACCCAGATGGTCCTATTGGATCCCAGATGGCCATTTGTAAATGGAGGGAACCCAGATGGAAGGTAAGGGATTTCACGGGCATCCCTGAAGTGACTTACCCTGTTCCAGATTGAATCCTGGACTCACCAGACATAGCCAGTTCTCTTCCTAACACAATCAGCATCAGGAAGCAGCTGGAATTGGTATGCAAAAGCAGGAAGGGCAGGTCCCCAAGACAAAGAGAGCCTTGGCAGCCACTAGGGACTTACCCAACAGGTTGCCTATCTGAGGTCAACTGGCCATAAGCAGGAATTAAAATCTCTTAGTGGTCACCAAATTTGTTACCGCCTAAGAGAGGGGGTCGTCTGCCTGCTGCAAGACATGCCAGTAGTCAAGAGACAAGGTGGTAGGAGAGAAAGGACTTTATTACAGCTTGCTAGCAAGGGGGAAGATGGCCAACTAATGTCCAAAAGAATTATGTTACACAATAAAGACTACAGGCCAGATATATAGGGTGCTGGTATCTGGGTGGGGGCATCCATGCAATCTCCGTGTGGGAGAAGACATCTGGTCTTAGTTCCTGATAGTCTTTTATTTTACTGGATATGCATCAGAGACCAGAGCAATGCTCTATACCCTGATCTTTCAGTTGTCATTGATGATGGCTATCAGCATAGACTCTGCCTGGGGGTCATCACATTCATAAGGAACACAAAATAACAAAGTTATCAATTTATGGCAGCTGAGAGGGGCCATAATATCTACAGAGTGTCTCTGGATTAGTTGATCAGACATCATTCAAAGCTACAATATTGTTTCTTTTCTACAATATGGCTTCACTTATGTTGAGTCACTATAAAGAAAAGGCACCTACCAGGTCTGTTAATTACTCTCCTTATTATCTATTGATTGCTGAAACAGTCGAGAACTATTAAGCAGTATGGCCAAGATAATATTCTCTCACTGTCCAAGCATTCTCGTCAGCTTCTTCTTGAGTTAGGAGAAGTTGATATCTAACAAATAAGGTGATATATGTGGTGCTCATCATGTAGGTTCAGTTTCAATCTTTATTGATATCTTCATGATTCTCTGAGTTAAAAACCACTTGAAATATTCTCATGGCTATATAATCTCACTGCCTTGGCCCTACCTGCTTCTTGCAGCCAATATTCTGGTGCTTAGAGTGAGCAAGGTCATGTAAACAGTGCAAATACAAATAAAACAGATTTAACGAGGCTCATTGGATCCCTGTGCTTTCTCTCACAGAGAATCATCCCACTCTACACTATGGTTGGTTATATCTTTCATTATCTAGAGTTTAGGATTCTATTCTTCTACTCTTTGTAATCTTAGGGTTTAACAAGCCTTTGGTATTTAGTAGACATTGATGGAAATAATACGTAAGAAATAACTGAAATATAAGAAAAAGGAATTTTAGTTTAAATTGAGTTATACTCTATGTTACCTACATCCTTGAGTTGTTTTCTTCACTATGAAAAATAAAAATTATTTTTCAAACTCATTAATTTGCTTTGAAGCTGTTGTTTCTCCTGATTACAAAGATTTATGCCTTTCATTAATTTTGAAAACTTTCAGCCTCATTTCTTCAAATATTTCCTCTTCTCATTATGTACTTTCTCTCCTAATAAAATTCCTATTGGGCTTATATTGGATTTCATTTTAGCCTTCATATCCCTTAACTTTTTTTTCTTATTCAGCAGTTCCTTAGATCTGTATTGCATTATCAGAAATTCTTGATATCTCCCAATTTAGAAATATTTTTAAATTTCTTTCTCTATTTGTTGTTTAGTTCACTTGTTGAGTTTTTAATCACACCGATTAGATATTTTTACTTCTAGAGTCTTAATTTGCTATTGAAAACTCTGCCTGGTATTTTTTGATCATGTCTCTCTTTTTTTTTCTGCTATTATTTCCTTTTATATCTTTAAGCTTTAAAATATGATTTCCCCTATGTGTGATTTCTTGAGGGTCTAACCTGTTATCTGTTTTCCAACTTTCCTTCATGATGAATTATTTCTCTCTGTGTTCTTTAATTTTGGATTGTGGCCTCATATGAGGAAAGTCTTTATGTGTGGGAATCCTTTGCACCTCGTGTTGAGAGTGGTTCTCTTGAGATTAAATTTCTTCAAATTTCACCAAGTGTCACAGAGGTATTACAAACTTAGAATCAACTTTTATTATAATTTATTAGATTGTGTATTCCAGGATCACACAAGGAGAATATTTTCAAACTCCAACTTTGTAATTATGATTAGTAATTCTCAGAATGAGAAATAAACAAAAAATAAACCAACATTCAGTGAATACACAGACAAACAAGCTTCCTTCCCTGTACAATTGTGTGAATTTTTTCTTGGGCTAGATGAGAGTGTAGCAGAAGCCCCAGTTGAACTTTTCCCCTTGTTTGCCTGGTCTCAAGGCCTTATCAGCTAATCCAGTTGACCATAAAGCCAAACACCAGGGAATCCAAACAACGCCTAGTATGCCCAAGTGTCAGTTCCTGCTTGCCTGTCGGTTGCCCATTCTTTTTTGTTTTGTTCCCTAGGAGCTTTCTCTAATTTTGTCATGAATGCATTCAAAAGGAATTAAAACACATTTTGTATCTTGCATGGATGGCTCTTGTATTACATGTCCTTTCAAGTTGTGTAGTGTGCTGTCTTGCCAGAAGTAGAATCCATAACTGTGTTTATATTGTTAGAAAACAGAAACCACAGACCTCAAATGGCATCACTAGTGTTAAAAGCCAGACTTAGACTTGATACCTCATTTAATTGCCATTTCACTCTCTCCCAGATTTTAATCAGACAGTCTTAAATTTTCTGGTCAGCACCAATGAGGTCATCTGTCAGGACGACCCTCTCCATCCACCATAGGAAGAAGAGGCAATCTGCAAGATAAAACCCTTATCTTTTACTTTCCCCCAAATAAATGTCCCAACCTAGAATTAATGTTTTCTTTTCTTTTGCTAATAGCTTTCTTGCCTCACCCTTCTTCCTATAAGCCTCCATTTTGTACAGCCCCTCAGAGTGCCCTTCTAGTTGCTAGATGGGATACAGCCTGACTTGATTTTCAAATTTACTCAGTTGGATTTTGATTTTAAAAATATATTTACATCCAAAAATCCACAGATCATGTCATAATACAGTGCATTAGGTTTGAAAGTCAGTCAGAGTGGAGGGACTGAGATGAGATTGAATGGATAAGGTGTATGAGAAAATGGAAAGGAGACACTGGGGGCTGAGATGAAGGCTAAGTGAATAATGGTGAAGGCATGAAAGAGTGAAAAAGAAGGAGTGAGAAGCAGAGAGGGGAAAGAGAAGAGCATGTAGGTGGGAAAGAATGGGGGCCCATGGAAATAAGACACACAGAATGTTAGAGCCAAAACTGATAGTAGAAAATATTCAGTTCTTTCAACTCAGTCATTTTATAGATAGGAGATTGATGTCAGAATGCTGATATGATTTCTCCAATTCACTGCATCCAGCAGGTGTCCCATCCAGGAATTCATCTTGACTCTCACTTCAAAGCTCCTTTTCCTGCAAGAGATTTGCTGTGGCAGGGAGCGTCGCACAGACCAGTTGCAGGAAGAGCTGCTGGAAGTCAGAAATGTGAGAGAAAAACTGGAAGAAGAATGGGATGGGAAATGAGAAGCTCAGTAAAAGGAACATGGTTATAAAAGCAGTGGATTTCATAGCCTGGAAGTTCAGGTTTCTATTGGTGCTGAGGGGTACGTCAGATGAGTGTGTGGGACGGTGTGGGGAGGAAAGGTCACATCTGGGATCTGAGGAGAACTTCACAGAAGAGGGAGGAATTCAAGAGCTATGATGGTGTTTGGGGAAACAGTAAATCACAGCTGTTAGAAAGAACATGAGCAAGCTTGTGGCCTGAACATGAAGGAATCAAGAAAAAGGACCCAGGGAGTTCTGGTGACACAGGGAAGAATGCTGGACTCCACTAGGATAACTGGGATACCCTGCCTGGTTGAGTTCTAATCAGAGTATATCCCATCCATCCCAGTTTTCTCCTCTGGGGTTTCCTATGTGTGGGAACACACGATTATGAGTGACCTGTACAGCCATCTCCTTCTCTCTCAATTCTTTTATTTTTTAATCCTGGGCCTCATCACCTCCCCCTGCACCCATTTTATCTCTTGATTTTTGCCTCCAGTTGTGCTCTTCAGCTATCCCAGTTCTTAGTATCTCTCAGCTCCTAAGAAGCTCCCACGAAGCCCCTTTCTTTTCTTCTCTTTCAGATTTTTGTCCTTCATCCACCATAGCTGAGTGTGCACTCAGGAGTGAGACTGCCTGAGAAAGTTTCAGATCCACTGTATGATCATGGCTCAGGTATCAGCTTCTTCCTACAACACTGATCAGCATTGACTCTGCCCACAGGAACTGAGCTGAAGAAATTTGTGGTTCTGTTCCACTTTTCTTTTCAATCATTTTCCTCCTCCATCTCAGTCTCCACTTCCTCCTCCTCCTCTTCTTCCTTTGCATTCCTCCTTCTTCTGCCTCCCTCCTTTTCCATCTTCTCCTCCTCCTCTCTGATTCTTCCTTCTCTTTCTGAATCTGTTATGGCCTTGGTGTCTCTGACCATCTCCCAACACTTTGGTCCCATAACTCCATTTTTCATTTAGTTAACTTTTCCCTCTCCTTCCTACCCAAACTCAAACTGCCTCTTCCTCATTTTCCCACTCCACACTCAAGGGTATAAGCATTGGCAGCTACATAATTTCTGGGGTCTAGTGCAAAATGAAAATATGGGGCCTCATACTTACCACGCAAAAAAAAATGCTTTCAAAAGTACTAAAACATAAATTTTTTTCATTTCTTTTTTATGTCTTTATCTCTCTATCTCCCTCTGTCTCTCTCTTTCAACCTGTCAGGGTGTTGTTTGTTGCTGTTGTTATTTTAGTTGTTTCTTTGTTTTAATTTGCTAATGTTGCTTTCTTTGGGGTACAGTGACTCAAAGGGCAAGTGAAAATCCTCTTAGGTGCTTGTAGCCTCCACTCCCCTTGTTTTTTCTGTGTGCTTAATAATTTTTCATCAAAATGTAGACATTTTGTGTGCAATGATAGACATGGAGATAAATAGTGTTTTGTGGGGGACCTGGAAACAGGCATGCCTTTTCTTTTGCTAAGCATCAATGTGGGAGTTTGAATCAATCTAGTCAGGAGTTAACTGGGTTTATATTTTGCTGTTTCAACTGTCTTCAAATTGCTCTACCATTACTTTGTTTGTAGGGTAGGGCTGTTTGCCAGGGGATTTTTCTTAATCTCTGCTTCATTCTCAGGTTTTGGTGTTTCCTTTGTGCTATGCCTCAAGGGAAATTATCTCCATTCATTTGTTCCTCTTCTAGCAATGACTGCTCTTATGACTAGTTATTTGCTAACCTGCTTGGAGAGGGAGTAGGGAGCATCATCTTTGTTCTTGTTCAGTCTCATTTTTGGCAGGTGCTTTGTGTTTTAGGTGTTGTAATTGGACCTTTAAGTGTTCCTACCTTTCTAATACTGTAATTAATCTTTGGGTGGTGAACATGATGTAATCTATACAGAAATCAAAATATAATGATGTACTTCTGAAATTTATATAATGTTATAAACCAACCTTACCACACACACACAAAAAAGAGTTCCTACTTTTCTCTCAACAGTATGGAACCTCTAATAGTCTAGACAAGATGTTTCCTGTCCCTTCTCCATTTTTCCATTTCCCTCAGTTACAGCGCACCTTCACTTGTGCAGTGAAGGCAGCAAGACTTTATACCCTTCTCCCACCAGGTTAAGGCTTTTTTCTGTGTGGGAGATAGTGGAGAAAGATCTGGTTGGAACTCTGTGCCTTTTTCATGCAATAACTTATCTTAGACCTCAGGCCTGCATTACAATAAAGGATTTTTCTGCTCTATATCCTTGACTCCAATCTTTCAGCTGCCCCTGGTGAGGTCTATGGAAAAAAGCCTAAATATAAGTGAATTTCCTGTGTCTATGACTCTCACAGGTTCTATATACTCACACTAGCCTTTAGTAATTTGTTAACAGTTTTAGCTGAATTATTCTTCCTGACTTATCTAGCATCTGGCTTCTGTCTCAAGTCAGCAAAGGTTTGCATCTGCTATTTCCTTGGAGGAATCTGTCTTTTCTTAGATTTTGGTTTAATTTGTTGCCCTTGTAGGAGTGGAAAAACTTTCCCTTTTACCCTTCTAGGTTCTTTGGCTGGTCTAAGAGTTAAATTCATGTAAAACAAATTAATGGGAAAAAACAAATTTAATTTCATACGTAAAAGAGCCCCATAAAAAAATATTTGACCCAAAGGCAAGTTGAGCGATTGATGCTCATACACCATCTTGAGCTAAGGAACAAGATAAAGTCTTGGTATTCAAAAGAGAGGACATAATTCATAGGAGAATAACGAGAACAAGTAATTAGGTACTTTCTCTGCCATATAGATAGGTCATTCAGGTGAAGTAATTTCTGGTAATAGCTCTCTCTTTGAGCTGTGTCCCTAATCCAAATTATGTGAGGTACTTAAGAGACTGGTAAAAGTTTTTCTCGAGTCTCCCAGGTCTTGACTCTCTTCAGCTGAAAATAATGCCATAGTGGCATATTTCGAGGTCACGTATTCTGCTCCCCTTCAGAACTACCTTTAAAATTTCAACAAGAAGTTTCACAGTACAGAAGTTGAGTTGGTAGATTGCTCCATATCTCATTGAACCAGGTTTTCAGCCTTGAGAATAGATGAGTTCATTTAAACAGTTGGATCTCATTTGAAGAGGTGGTGATGCTTGTGGGCTCCCAATGCTAGTCCTGTCATAAAATCAATCAGGCATTTAATAAAAGGCATTTTTTTTGAGGGGCTGGCCTGATGGCATAGTGGTTAAATTCATGCACCCCACTTCAGCAGCTCAGGGTTCATGGATTTGGATGCTGGGCACAGACTTACACACTGCTCATCAAGCCATGCTATGGCAGTATCCCACATACAAAATAGAAGAACATTGGCATAGATGTTCAGGGACAGATGCTCAGGGACAATCTTCCTCAAGCAAAAAGAGGAAGATTGACAGCAGATGTTAGCTCAGGACCAATCTTCGTCACCATAAAAAAAAGGGCATTCTTATTGAAACAAAATAAAAACAGTGGTTAATAATTGTAGCAAACCATAATCCCAATTTCTGGGTTCTGAAGGCAGCCAATTGAGAAGATTTCTAGATGTCCAGCTTGAACCATCTTCAAATGGAGTGAGGGCAGGAAGTGGCCATCTGATAGATTTTCCTGGTTTGTGGTTCGAATGTGTCTGGTGGTCTTTCTCAGTAGCCAAGAAAGTTCAGGCACAAGATTCTCTATATGTGAGTTGTTATGATTTCTCTGAGGTTTATATCAAGTTTTCCAGCTTTAGCTTTTGCTCGGCTTGGGGAAAAAGGCAGTTTTAGTTCTTAATGATTTCAAGTCAGAAGGAGGGGAGAAAATTGGAAATGTTAGTTTGGAGAGTTATAGCCAGTACTGGAGGAAACTGGAAGAATTCAGGATCTAGTTTAGTTTACATGTATAAAACAAAACCTCAAATGCAATTAACAGGACTAGAATTTGGTATCCACAAAGGTGTATTATAGAAACATAATTTTTCTTTTGAAAATTATCTCCATTTTTATCAAGAGCTAACCACAGTAAGACTAATTTGTTTGCAAATGAAGTTGAGTTTCAATAAACTTGGCCTGATTATTTATGTAAATCAGCAAGAATAGTTATTGATGATATAGTGTCTTTAAAATTTGCTTTGCTGGAACTTTTTCATAAGGAATCTTAGATTGGAAGTTTAAAAGCCTCTCAAGGTTAAGAAGCCAAGCCAAGGTCTCTCCATCAGACTTTGCCTGCATGCCTATAGATTTGAGTGAATTCCTTTCTTCTTGAGGAAATAGTCTCAAAATATTCCGAGGCTTCTGAGCTTTCCAAGGAGTGACCTGCTTTACTGCCCTGGTATGGTTGCAGGAAACCCTGAAAGCAAGGTACCAGGCTGATTTTTCCAAGGGGCTTTATTCGCTCCATGAAGTCAATCCTTGCTCCTTAAAGGTGTTTGTTCATATCCAAGCTTATGAAAATCTCTCTCAAACATGGCATTACAGTCAAAGCCTTGGTAATATAACCAATGTTTCCAATTGTGTCCTGTTACAAGAAAAACAGATTTTTATTGAACTTATGCAAATAACTATATTAATATGAAAATCAGAATGCTGACTAACAGTTTCCAAATGCTGAAAGGATCAGGTAGGGAGAAAAAGATAAATGTTTCATCATTTTGTTCACAAAGATATATCTTACCAAATTGCTGATAATTTTAGAGAAAACTTTCCTTAAATGTGGGAAAAACACATAAAATAACTAACAATGTTTCAAACAAAAAGTCAAAAATTATAATCATCTTTATCAATTTATTCAGTCCTTTGAAATTAATTCTTGTTGACCTTGATCTTTTGTTAGAAGTTTTACGAAGCCATCTGTTTCTCTCTTAGAGTTCTGCAAATTCTTACCAGGTTCAATGGTATGAACTTAACTATCAGAAACTTGTATTCTAGAGTACATGTCAGAGTCCTTTCCATGAGTCTCTCTGAAGATAACACATATTTGCAAAGCTGTCACAGTAAAACAATAACTCTCTGTAAATGATAAGTCTTAAAAATGGCCATGGTTAATAGTCTGGTGACAGTGCATTTCAATGCAATTATCAAGAAAATTTGGTTATTTCTGTGACACACAACATCTTAAGATAACTAGAATTATAAGTGATAACATTATACCAGGACATATCCAATTTCTGGAAATTTTATGGAACTTCTGGAACAAACATAATACATAACTATACAAATGTAATATAATTCTTCTTACTTGATAATGCTTCCCATCTAATTTAACATATCAAATGATTCTAATTAGTTTAGTGTCTCTCTTTTACAAAGTCAGAGAACAAATATTTTAAGATGTTCCAGGGGCCATCTGGAAAAT